CTTCAATTGTATGAATATACTTTTAAAGAAAATTATAATTAAATATAGCTTTGTAAAGAAACGTACATAAAAATATAAAATATTCTTTACTTTTTAAATCTTAAAACAATGCACTTAGTCAAATAGCTCCCTACGAGTGGCTAATGGATGGAATCGAAGACGGTTGCAAAGTGCGAATAAACGCGGACTGCCAAATCCCCAGTGCGCTGATACCGGTCAATATCAAATACCTCTTTTGTCGCATCACTAGTATATCTCAAAGGATGCGACAAGGCTGTTGTAGATTTTAAATGTTTCTCACCATAGCTGTAAAAATCTAAATTTGTTAAACTTAATAGTCATTTGTTTTCTAACTAATTCTTTTTACGACCAGGTGTCCACGGAATTTTCCAAAATTTACAACTTTTCAATTTACAACTGTCATTGAATTGTAAAAATTTCTCTCTATTACATTAATAATATGAAGAAATCAGTCTCCACTGTACTTGGCTAGAGATGGTTCGGTTAAGCTTTTGTTTAAGTAAAATTTTGGCTCTTTCATCAGGGTTTTGTTTATGTTATGTCCCCAATTCCCTAATCGCTTAATTATTTAACTACTTCTTAAGTAGAAATAGATCGAAACCAGTTACTTTGTACTCGAATATTTGTAGTCTTGGAAAAAAAGTGGAAAGACAAATTTTTATGACAACGGATACGTAAATCGTAAAATTAAAGAAAATAAATTCTAGAGCTTTTTCTGTAACTGGTGCATCTCTCTCATTCATTAAATTTAGTTGTAAATGACACTGTCAAAGTAATAGTTAATTTTTTAACAATTATATAAATATTATACAAGAATTGTACACGTTTTTTTCTATATCCCCTTAAAGATGGGATTATGAAATTGTAATATCACTGGTTTAACATTGAAATCTGAGTAATATAAAATCAGAGAGCAGAATAAAAATATCAAATATTTTAATGGATTTTTTTAAGCTCCTGTCAACTATACAGAACTATCATAAAAACATACCAGTAAATTCTTATCAGTTGGGTTAAGTTATAAATCTACTCATGATTCATGTAATCGGGTGAGGGCGGCCAAATATCTAGCGGGTGGGCGGCTAACAGCCCGGAGCTGGTCCTGGATAGAATTGGATGCGGAATACGTGTAGCATTCACCCTAGGCTTCCACCAGCTAAACTGTGTGAGGTTGGTGCTCTGTAAATCACAAATCTGGCTTTTTGGATGCTGACAATACAGCGTTTCCATCCTGCCACTGATATTCGAATATACAATAGCGATCTTATCTTTTTTTTTTTCCACGTGTAGTATAGAAATTTGTAATAAGATACATAAGGCGGTTATAATAAAATATTGTGCGATTATTTTCATATAATTAAAATTAATATGTATTTATTTTTTAGAAAATACAAGGGAAGCGGCGCATCCACGCTTCCAATGACGGCACGCCACTGCATAGAACCTCAATTATCCAAGATAATGTGGACCACATTTGGCAAAATGGCAGCTTTGAAGGGACTTCATGAGCTGTACGCCATAGAATATATTGAATCAGAATGATAATTAATTGGAAGAAAAGGATAATATTTGTTGTGTACTTGCCATTACGTAGAAAATTAAAAGGAATAAACATTTGTCACTCTTACGTTTAATCGACAACATGGAAAAATTCCTGCAGACGGTAACTTGACAATGTTGCCATCCAATCATTCGATAATTGTCGTCTGCTTAAAAGGTAAATTATAAAAATAATAAAATATTTCTATTGGAATATATTTTAATACTGATTACTTTAAGTTTATAAATAATAAGCTGTTATAGGATCTTTCATTAAAAGATAGAAAGGATCCTTTGACCACTCGGTCATCCGGCCACACCTGCTACCCATACGACGGCCGGATGGCAGAGCGGTTAAGATGGCAGCCTACACTTTGGGAGACCCGGAATCAAATCTGGACAGGTCGAAAATCTTCAAGAATTTTTCGGAGGGTGGTCCGACCGGATATGTCGGCCCCCAACACCCGGCTGTCCCATTGTGGGCCTGGCCGAACCCATAATGGACTTGCTAAATGAGACCCTCTTAGTGCCCACAGGGCGGAGAGTAAAAAAAAAAAACTTGCTACCATACAAAAGTGATGGGCGGATGACCGAGCGGTCGAGGTGTCAATCTACCGCTCTGAAGGGCCCAGGAACGAATCCAGACGGGTCGAAAAACACGGGAATTTTTTGTGGTTCGTCTCGGATGCAGATTTTTTAATAAAATCAGATAAAAGTGAATAGACGTTTAATTTTTGTAAGAAATTATACGAGTATGCAAAAAAAAGGTCGGAAAATAGTTAAAAACCTGATAAAAATAGGGTAAATTACAAACCATTCTTAGTTATTAGTGAAAGTTATATTTTTGTATTTACAGTATATAAAAGTGATATTTTGAATATTTCATGACGAAATTAACCTTACGTTTCAGTTTATTGCACGTAATTATAAAAATAAAATTGAACGTATGGAATTTTGTGTGTATTAAATGCGCAAGTGTAAAATCACAGAATTGAAAATAGCTTTTATTTCTAATTTTAAATTTATAAATTGTTATAAAATGTTTGTCAATTAAAACATACGATATTTATATACGAATTTAATGTAAAACTCGTATTTACAAACTGTAAATATTTCGGTGATATTAGACTTTTTACAAAGAAAAATATCCTAATTATATTTTTTTTTAAACACATCAGGAAGTAAAATTGTTTGTTTATTTAAATATTAAAAAGTTTTAGCACTTTTCAATGGCAGATCGGGTGTGACAAATTTCGGGCAATCACAGCACGAGCTGAAAGTAATTTTGCTTATTCTTTGTGTATAAAAGCAGTCACGCCCTACCCCGTACCTTATCATCCGGCCCGTTTTTGTAGGCTTGGCCGAACTCACANCAGTCTGCTCTGCTGTCTTCATTTATTTTTTTCATTATTTGAGAGAAATTTTTTAATCTTTGTGAATATTTTTGCAAAATACAATAGAGAAGTCTATAGAAAGATACTATAAATAAAACAAATGTAATTTCATTAAGAGAGGATCAAAAGAAAAACAACAGAAAGCACTGCAATGGAAGTAATTATTTAATGTATAGTCACCAATCATGTGTAGTTTTCAAATGCATTTGATGTTTTCTTAAGATAATTTGAGCAATACTAGCTACTGTACATCAGCTAGTATATAATAAAAACAAATGTGAAATTGAAGTTTAAAATCATCAGTTAAATTTCAAAAAATCATTACAGTTTACAGTTTTTATAAAAATTTATTCTTTACCTGAAATATTTACAATTTTCAAAATACTTAAGTTAATATGATATATCAATTTTTTTAATTAAAACTCTCATAATAAATTATTTTAAATTTATATATAAATTACATATATATGTATATACTGTATGTAATAAATTTTTACAACAATGTAATAAGATAGTGAACATTTATATATCACAATACCATTTATTAATTGTAGGGTGAATACTTATCACCATTTATAAGAAATAATCATTTCTTTTATTATCCAGAAATTAATCAGATAAAAAATGATACTGCTTAACCATAATAAAATAAAAGAATTGATTCCTTTAAATTCTAATTGAAATGCAAAAAACAGCCATAACATTTGACCACATAGCCATAAAAGAAATAAATGTAAACCTTTCTTTACAGACATATTTAAAAAGGGCAAGACTATTGGCATCAAACAGAAATACCATAAAAAATACTGAGATGTGCAAACTTTATTTAAAGAAACAAATACGACTGTCTGTATAAAAATACAAAATGATAAATCCTTTTCACTGTTAAAACTAATCGATATACCTATTAATAAAACCATTTGAGGTAGGAATGTAAGAAAGGATAGCCATTTATGATTTTCGTCATCTAACAAATATAAAAGATAAAAAAATGGAGAAAAATTATGTCTTATATCTTTACGAGTCAAATGATAAAGAAAAGCAGCATCAATGTACTCCATTTTGTACATTTTAAAAGCGAGAAAAGTAGGCAATATAAATGTAATAGCAGCAGCACTTGCAAATGAAAAATGCTTTTTGTTTGGTACCAAATATAAAATCTTTTTCATATTGGATTTATTTGATTTTTCACTCAATCTTAAATATATAGAGAGAGCATATATAATTGGGTAGAGTTTGAAATGCACAGAAAATCCGTATACTAAGCCAGCATAGAATATTTTGTTATTATGTAAAAGTTGTATTGTTAAAAGTATGAGACAAGACATAATAGATTCAGCATTTCCACGAGTTGATACCACTGCAGGCAATGGATTATAAAGCCACAGCAAAGCACAGCAGAGTGATGATAAGTCATTCAATCTTTTTTTTGAAATTTTGTAGATCAGATAACCAGTATTAACATCAAAAACTGAAAACAATATTTTCCCCCATAATTGATGTAAGTAAATATTAGGTGTTAATAAATAGGCTAGAAATGGTGTATAACGATAAGTGTGTCTTTTAAATGGAGAACTTCCATTTACAACAAATGATGCACCATCGGTGAAAACATGATAATCAACATCTGTAAATTTAACTTCAAAATATTGATCTTGCCATTCTCCATAAAACAGCAACATTAAACGAAACATTAAAGCAAGAATAAAATGTTGAAATGGAGATATCTGTTGAATAATATCAATTCTCTGGAAAAGTGTTTCTTGCTTTTTATTCTTCATATTAAATACTTATGAAAATTTTCAGCCTCTGAAAATAAAAAATTTCTTATGAAAAGCAAAAATATATAAAATTTGTAATTTATATTTATATAAACAAAACTTTAAACAACATTTATAAGAAAATCGATTTAATTATTACATTATGATTATTTTCATATACAATAGTATAATACTATATTAATAGTACAGATAAACATCTATCCAGGGGCTTTTTTCCAGCATTGGTTAAATTAACTAAGTTGTGGATTGCAGCAGACTTGTACCAGATATTACATTGCTGGTTTCAGATAACAATGTATCCATATGTACCCATGTCACTGCTATCTGAAACCAGCAGATGTCACACAGTGATTTGAGTGGCTTAACGTAATGTTAAATTTACAGCATGACAAAATATAACTCCTTCAGCCATTTTATGGATCAACAAGGCACTGTTTTCATGGAATGGGGTATTTAACACTGTATCACTGGGTAGAGTGTACCATACAATGTATGAGACATATGTAATACCAGGTGCATTTTACCCTAAATGTCTGGTGTGGAATTATTTTAACACTGTAACAAGCATACAAATTCAAGCCTTGCACAAATATATGCATGCACCACATGCATACATTTGTGAAAGGCTGAAAAGATCTCTTTCACCCCTGGATAGACATTTAAGTAAAAGAAATTTACATATTTTAATTAAATGTCAAACTGGTATTCTATTATTTGTTTAGACAAATAAATGTATATTTGAATTTGCTTTTGGAAGTAAATCATGTAATTAATTAGTAAATAATCTATAATTACTGTTTAAATTTTTGAATACTTACAAATATTAGTTGGGAAAGCTAAATAAATATAAGGTTTTCAGACACTTCTTTTTTTAGATATATTTTCTTTTTGAGAACTACATCACAACCAATACCTTTTAACTGAAATGTCCAGGAATGTCAACTCTCTATAAAATGAAAATTTTAAATTTTATTTAAAATAAATAAAAAATTTATCAATATGTTTCCATTACAAATTTATTTATTTATTTATTACAATTTTAATAGTAAAACCACAAGGACAATAAATGCCATCCCAAAACAAGCTATTCTATTAGAATTATTTATATAAATATAAATTTTAAATTATGCAAGAAAATATACTGATAACAGATTACAGTCGACCCCCCTATAATTACGATTCCTATAAAACTATGAAAAAATATACGTATTTTGGAAATGTTGAGTCGGATTAGTGTAGAATCAATTAATTTTATGGAAGAAAACCTTTCAATCAGCCGTAGTCCGTAAACTTGACACGTGTCGGGCTGTGATTGTAACGACTTGTAAGAAATTGGATTCCTAATAAATTGGAACGTATCTATATCTTATAGGGGGGTCGACTGTATA